AGGAATAGATTTAATATTTATATATCTAATGAAAGTCCAATGACACATTAAGAAATCTTTTACCTATTAATTGAGAATGTAGTTTAATGAAAAATGCTGATTTGTTTTAATCTGATTGGTTAAAATCATTTGTCTACTCTAATTAAATATGACATGGAAATGATGATGTGTAATGATGATGTAATTGTGACATGTCATTTACTAACACATGTGGTTGATGACATGGAAAAATATTTTTTTTTGTGATATTTCCATAAAAAAAAATTAATTAGATAACAAAATTTAATGTACTAATAACTAAATTTGGAATAATTCGCCAGATGCACTACGAATGGTCTGATATTATTATTCATCTATATGGATAATAGTAGATGAATTATGGACTGAACGTGATGATTTTAATACATATATATATATATATTATAATACTATAAATAATACTATATTATATACCTATAAAATTTACTATAGGTCTGTCGTGGACCACTGTGATTTTCCATATGTACATATATTTACATATATATTATAATACTATATTCATATGGAATACATGCACATATGTTTTCATATACTTCACAGTAAGCAAATTTATACTAACAAAATCACATTGATCAAATCGTTTACCTAATAATTCATATTTTTTTGTAAAGACGGTGTTCCATTTACGTGCACATATGTTTTCACATAATTCAGGTGGCAAAATTATAATAACAAAATAAGATATTATTATGATCTTATGTAGAACATTCAAAATTTAAAATTAGTTTAGTTTAAAAATAATAACAAATATAAATATAAGATTTTAATTTAATAATCCTCTATGTTATTTTTCTTAACAAATGTTAGATATCATAAAAAATCAACGTGCATCTAATAAAAACCAAAATTATAATCTTCTACATTATTTAAAAAGTTTAATGTCCATTTAATAAAAACCAAAAAGATCCATATAAAATCACGTTCATCCCAAATAACTACCTAATAAAAAAGCTAAATACTTGGGTCCTTATATAATAAAACATCACAATATACATGAATATTAAACAAATCAAACATTAACTCAAAGTGCGGGCATGACAATTCTACCAATACATTTACCTAAATTGAATATGGCTAAAATGAAACTTGAAGGTTGGATAGACTCCAATCATGAGTGTAATGAAACAAAGTTTTATCGCTACAGTGAATTTCCAAACAAATGGATTTGGCATCAAAAAATTAAGAAGTGGCTCCCTCATCTGCGCAACAGAAAAACAATGTTTCCTACGATATCAGCCTTCCATAAGTTTTAGAAGAATATGATGAGCTTTTCTACCTTAAAATGTTGCTAAATGTTCAGAGAAGATCAATATGCTTCAAAGATATTAGGACAGTAAATGGAGTTTTATATCTCCAACATTCGCTGAAACATGTTTTGCAATAGGGTTAGTTGAAGCACTTGATGCTTAAGTGGAGATGATCTTGCAATTATTTGTAGAGTCTACTTGATAAAATAATAAGTAGAAAAATTGCACATATGAGTAAATCAAAACCAACAATGACAGAATCCTTGAAGAAATAGTGCTTTAAATTGAAGAAGATTATAGGAAGACAAAGAAAATGAAAAATGTTTGTTCAAAGAAAAAAAGACAGAGAAGATAAAATTTGCAGCCTGATCCGCAAATCCGAAGAAGGTAACCAACTATCCACGGGTTTGACCCTCTAAAATAGAGGGTCAAGTTTTACAAAACTTGTTCATCGAAAAATAATTTTTATGTTTTCCAAATTTAATTATTATTTTTCAAGTTTGTCTCAAAATATAAATGAACCTTTTATTATAACAAAATGTTTAGTTAAAACTAGATCATATTTTACCATTAAATTTAAAGTCTTATAATTCAAAACACTAACCTTGAGTTTTATAAACTACAAAAAATTAAAATATCTAAGACGAATTTAAGTATTGTATTTAGATAATTACATTTTTAAAATTGTTCATGCCCGCACATGCGTGCGAGCCAATATCCTAGTAACACAGTAACGAAAGGTTATTCTTCTAAATTGGATTCTCCTTTAATATAATAGATCTTTTACAAAAAAAAAATATATATATATATTATATCTCATAAAACTAGGGTTTTCTCGATTAGTGAATTTCGGGAAGCGCACGTTTGAACAAAAGTTTACTTAGTTCAGATCGTGAGCTAATTATCCGAAGATACCTAGCCTCTGGTAAGATTCTGGATTTCAAATGAATGATATCTTGGCTATACATCGAATAGAAAATGTAGAAAATGCTGAGAAAACTCTTCTGCATTTTGTTTATAAATGTGAGTAGGGAGAACTGGAGAAGATGTTATGCTATAACTTGGACTGTAAAATGATTTTTATTATTAAGCTCATGTTCCCAATCTTTCTTAATTAACCACTTGGTTCGAAGGTAACTAGGGACTTTACTCTGGAGATTGAATACCAGTGGTCTAGAAGTCGTAGAATAGTACTCTACCACTGTACCACAGTAAAGAAGACTGATCTCATTGGATACGGTGGCTTTTGTCTTGACTTTCATTAACTAACGAAAATGTATGAGAAAGAACTAAAAAGTAATTCACGTATAATTTACACACGTCTCCTTTCTTGTATGAGAACAGGTGGCCTTCTGCGCTACTCCAAGCTACAACATAATCTTTTGTTCTCTCGTTTATACACAGACAAGAAGCTGAACTGTCATTAGAGGAATATTGCCACATACCTTGAACAGCAAGTAATGACTTAATCCGTGAAAGATTGATCCTCTTGCGAGTAAACACGTTCTGAAGATAAATATTTAGACCATCATCTTCAATCAGGAGCCGATTCCTGTAACTAGCCATAACATGGGTTTTAAATAACTCGTGCTTGGGATGTCCGATTTCTTGATCATGTTTGTCTTCTTCACGGTCGAACAAGAAAGTAGAATGCTCGCCCAATAAAATTCGCCATGGGTACACATGTTGTCGAAACGGTATACCAGTATAAACAAACGGTTCTTGCTTGACAAAAAATCTTTGGAGATTATGAGCCTATGGATCGCAAAATATCGGAAAAAAAACAAAATTTTAAATTTTTAAAGTTAATACAGTTTATATAATATAAAATAAAAGCAGAACATGTCTAACAAATAGCACAAATGGCCTAGTGGTAGAGTAGCACATTGCCACATTGAGGTCTCGATTCCGATACCTACTGAAATGTGAGGAATTTGCTTTAACGTTGGTTAGGTCTCTTGTACTCTTCTTATCCTAGTGATGAGAATTAGCCCTTTTTGAGCTCAGCTTTATATATTTTTCCTCTCTTTGCTAGAGTAATCTGATTTTTAAGTTAATTTGGATTGCATTATCTCTTGTTTTTTTTCCTTTTTTAATTTTCCAAAAAACATCATAGAATACGGTAATATTGATGTGTATGAGTGTCCACATCATTCATATATTAACTGTCTTACGAATTGACAGAATATTAATAAATTTATGCTCAAAATTCATTTTTTATGTTAGAGTTACGTGTTTCCAAAATGACAAGATGAATAGGTAAATAAACAAAAGAGAAAAACAAAAGGAGTGATAAGCTTTTCAATTTTTTTCTTTTTGCATCATTGTCTTTTGAATTTACATATTTACAGGACGAATAGGTAAAATTGATGTGGTCTAGTCGCATAGTTTGGAACAGACAAAAGAAGAAAATTGAAATTAGAGTTTCTTTTTTTCCCTTTTAATTTCCAAAAAAAATCATAGAATACGGTATATTAATACAACTAAAAACCAACAAAAAACGATAATGAAAACAGAAGACTGAAACTAAAAAAACTGATTCAAATGAAACACACCTAATATTGAAGAAATTGAATTGAAAAAACATCATCTACATTAATAAACTTAAGGAAAGTAGATCTTTTGATACCTCAAAAAAAATTCTCATTTTATTAAAGTTAAAAGAACTCACATTTGCAAACCACTCAGAAACTGCTCTGACCATGATTGAGCTTTAAAATCTGTCTGCAAAGAGGCAACATTACTAAAACAAACCAACAATCAACTAAGTAGACGATAAGAGAAGAATGACAATAAACCGTTATTCTTCCCCCAACGCTGCAGATCAATCAAAATGGAACTCACACACTTTTCAGAAAAACACCACCAAAAACCAGAAATACTCCTTCACCTAACCACACCTTCTTAATACACCGCTTGAAAATCAGAACCGCCGAAAGAACCGATCCTAAAATGAAGATGAAAACTCATACATTAAAACCGCCAAGAAAAAAACACAAGAGCTCCAACAAAACAAAAGACAGATCCTAAGAGCAACTCTATCAGTTGAGATACTTATTTAAGTATTTAAACAACAAAAATTGATATTTTGATTTTGTGTTTTCATATAATTTAATTTTAATAAATGAAAAAAATTGAACCAATCATAAGTGTTGAAAAGTTGAGATATGTATCTCAACATCTCTTTAATGAGATAGGTTTCTGGATTCTCTCTCTTACTTTTATTTTTTTTAATATTATAAATGGTAAGATACGAAGGTGAGAAATCATCGATAGAGCTGCTCTAACAAAGAAAGCAAAAATAAGGAGAAACCACCCTTTCACAGTGCCAACAGAAACCACCTGTCACCGGAAAGAGAATTCCGAAATCACTCTTTTTCTCTTTTTTTTTTTTTACACAAATTAAATTTACTTTTTTGTTTAAATTATTATTGATCATCTACCTTAAACCTGTTCGAGTAAATCATAAAACAACCTATAAAAACTATCAATGTAGTTACAAAAGACAAAAAAGAATACTTAAATTTACATTAAAATTTGAAAACATCATTTAAAATAAAAGAAAATGATATGTTTGCCTTAAATCCACTCGTGAGTACAAGCTTAATTAATGTACTAGCTAGCATACATGAAAGTAACATAACTTACATAATGAAGAAGGGAAAAATAAAATACAGTTTCATCTGAACTTTGAATTATCCAGTTGCGAAGTATATGGCCATTCCTCTTCTTCGATCTCTAATGGCGAATCCTCAGATCATCTTCTCGTTTCTTCTTCTCCTCCTTTTCTCGCTCTCATCATCAACCTCACTTACTCAACCATCTTTTCGACCAAAAGCTCTCATTCTCCCTATAACAAAAGACCAATCTACTCTCCAATACACAACCATCATCAACCAACGCACGCCTCTAGTCGCCGCCTCCGTCGTCTTCGGTCTCGGTGGTCGACAACTCTGGGTCAACTGTGACGAAGGTTACGTCTCCACCACCTATCAACCCCCTCGTTGCTTTTCCGCCGTGTGCTCACGCGCCGGCTCCTCCCATGGCTGCAACGAATGCTTCATCCCTGCTCGACCTGGCTGCCACAACAACACCTGCGGCGGAACACCCGACAACACCGTCACCAGAACCAACGGTGCCGGCGATATCGCTTTAGACGTGGTGTCGATCCAGTCGACTAACGGGTCGAATCCGGGTCGGGTCGTTACAATCCCCAATTTAATTTTCGTTTGCGGGTCAACGTTTCTGCTTCATGGGCTTGCTCGTGGATCCGTAGGTATGGCTGGAATGGGTCGGCACAACGTCGGATTGCCGTCGCAATTCGCCGCCGCGTTTAGCTCGAACCGGAAATTCGCTGTGTGTCTCCCTTCTAGAGGAAGAGGCGTAGCTTTCTTCGGCAACGGACCGTACGTTTTCCTTCCCGGAATCCAGATCTCCGAACTCAGCGCCACACCGTTGCTCACCAATCCCGTGAGCACCACTACTTCGATTGTAAACGGCGAAAGAATCATCCGAGTATTTCATCGGCGTAACGGCGATCAAAATCGCCGAGAAAACGGTTCCGATCAACACAAAGCTCCTGAAGATCGACGAAAGCACCGGATACGGAGGAACTAAGATCAGCACTGTGAATCCGTACACGGTGATGGAGACATCGATCTTCAACGCTTTCACTTCGGCGTTCGTCAGAGAAGCCGCCGCTAGGAACATCACTCGAGTATCATCGGTGGATCCGTTCGGCGCGTGTTTCAGCACGAAGAACGTCGGCGTCACGCGCGTGGGATACGCCGTGCCGGAGATCCAGCTCGTGCTTCAGAGCGACGACGTCGTTTGGAGGATCTTCGGAGGTAACTCGATGGTGAGAGTGAGCGATGGCGTCATCTGTTTGGGTTTCGTTGATGGAGGAGTCTACGTCAACGCGAGAACCTCTGTGGTGGTCGGAGGGTTACAGCTGGAAGATAATTTGATTGAACTCGATTTGGCGAGAAACAGATTGGGTTTTAGTTCTACGCTATTGGGCCTGGGCACTTATTGTGGCAATTTCAATTTCACTTCACTGCTTGAGATTACTTTTAGAATCTTCCTCTTAAAAAACGTCTTAAAGTTAAATCTCTTTTCCATTGAACATTTTGTTGTTCCTTACGTTCCATTTATAATACCCAAAAAAATATAAGAGATATTACAGTACTTACACAACAATAAAAAAATAGAGAGCTCAGATAAAGGGCTATAACTCAACCCCAAGGGTTCAGAAGATTGCGAAGGACCCAACCAACGATAATGCGAAATCCTCACCGCTCGATGCACCAGCTGAGAATCGAACCACGGTGTCAAACCGTGGGAGAATAGCATTCCACCATTAGACCTCTAGTACTAACTGTTAAACGTTCTCCTATTTTACTATACGAACTGTAATAACTCAAAAAATTAATATATTTTTGAATACGAACTGGAGAAGCCGGTGATAAGCTTTTGAATTTCTGTCTGGTTTGGGCTTCTTAACCTGAGGGTGGTTGGTGTGGTAGGATAATATAGGCTTGGCCCATCGATATAGATTCGGCCCAATAATAGTATTGTTTTGGTTCAAAAGGAAACCCTAATTTCCATTAATATTATGGTTGTAGGTACTCGCAGAGTTCCAGCAATCAAATTGATTTGAGTAGAGACGACCATGTCTGAAACTCGTTATGATTGGTCCAATCTTTCTCCGGATATTCTACGATCGATCCTCGAAGGCTTAACCTCTAAAGATTTCCATCGAGCAAGAGCCGTTTGCTCAAACTGGTATACTGTTTCGACAACCTGTGTGCGACCTCTTTTGTATCCATGGCGAGTTTTATTCGACGAGCATTCTACTTACTTGTTCGATCCAGGAGAAGACAACATTTACGAGATCGGACATCCCGAGCTCGACTTATTTAAAACCAATATTATGGCTAGTTGCAGCAATTGGCTCCTCATTGAAGATGCTCGTCTAAATTTCTATCTTCAGAACGTGTTTACTCGCGAGAGGATCAATCTTCCACGGATTATGTCATTACTTGCTGTTAAAGAAGAGTGGCAATTTTTTCCCTCCGAAGATTCGGCCTCGTGTATGTGGATAAACGAGAGAGCAAACGATTATGTTGTAGCTTGGAGTAGCATACAAGGCTATTTGTTCTCATACAAGAAAGGAGACGATTCTTGGTGGAGCCATCAAGACATAGAATGTGAGTACATGGCGTATAAAGATGAAAAGCTTTATGTGTATACATTCGATAGATGCATCAAGATTCTTGATTTATCTTCGGATTTGCGTGAAGAAGTCGTCATAGGAAACCCTTACCCTAACCATCCATTTCACATTGATTCGCATCCTATGAGCCTAGTGATTACGAGCTCAGGAAAGGTTTTGATCGTTGTAAGCTTCAGAGGATATAACGATGATGAGCGTTCCTTTAACATCTATGAGATGAATTTAGAAAGTGGTAGTTGGGAGAGAGTCACTTCTCTTGCAGGTGAGATGATGATATTTGGTCAGGGGGTCACAATAGAACCTCCGATCAAAGATATTAATGGTTGGGGATTCAAGAGAGATTCAATCTGTTTCGGATATGATGATCTTTTTCCAAATAAAAGGGATCAATTCAATTATTACTATAGCAAAAATACTTGTGGTGTGTTTGATATTCCAACAGGTACATTCACATCATTATATGTTCCGTGCTCGAAAAGTTTTTGGTTTGTTCCAGGATATGCAAAATCTACGATCGCGAGACTGCTTTCTACGTACAGTTAGTCTTAAGATTTAGCAGCTGACGAAGAGTCGAGCTTGTTGTTTTAATGATATTGTTGTCGGTTTTTTTATTATTGTTTTATAATGTGATTTTTCAATAAAATTTATGTTTTACTCTTTGGTTGATAAAAGTTGGTGTTATTTAGAGAAATCTTACTGCTATCCTCTTAAACTCTAATATTAAATACGATCACATATATCAATTGATCACTTTTATCCTGCTTGTTCTTTTTGGCAAGCCTGTGCTCTTCCAATAGTCGAAGTTATATAGCATAACATCTTCTCCTTTTCTCAAACATATAAACAAATAAAAGAAGATTGTTCTCCGCATTTTCTAATCGATATGGGTTTTTCATCTCCTTTTTCACAAAACTTAAATCTCATCTTGACTTTCATCTTCCCGATATTTGACTTGATCAGCCCACCTCGATCGGCCAATAATCCTCCAGCAACAGCCATCACATCTGTTTTAACGAAGAAGCAGTGTCCCTCTTGAAAAATGCTATATATATTTTTTGACCAATTTTTTCAATTATGAAAAATGCTATATTACAAATTGTTTTCCTTTTGCATGAAACAAAAACATTATATAAATTTAAATCAAATTTTTATAGTAGAGTATAAAATACAGTTTTTTTTTTTGGTTTAACGAATTTAAAATATAGATTGTCTTTTTTTTTCCCTGCATGAAACAAAAAAATAACATGATTTTTGGCACTCATGGTTATACAACCGCTCCATGTGTCCACGGGAATGGACGGAGACCACTCGGCCGTAAAGTGAGAAACTATCAGAGCACAAAAAATGGCACTTATGGAATCATACAACCGCTCAGCTCGATGTGTCCACAAAAATGGACCGAATCCACTTGTCTTGTCAAGAGACAAGCTTGCCCCTAGAACCCTTTGCCAGAAAGAGTTTGAACGGGTTTGTGAACATGAATTTTTGGTTAAGCAAACCGTATAACCCCAAACCACCATGTCCCACGAGTTTTTTTTTTTTGGTTTAACGAATTTAAAATATAGATTGTCTTTTTTTTTCCCTGCATGAAACAAAAAAATAACATGATTTTTGGCACTCATGGTTATACAACCGCTCCATGTGTCCACGGGAATGGACGGAGACCACTCGGCCGTAAAGTGAGAAACTATCAGAGCACAAAAAATGGCACTCATGGAATCATACAACCGCTCAGCTCGATGTGTCCACAAAAATGGACCGAATCCACTTGTTTTGTCAAGAGACAAGCTTGCCCCTAGAACCCTTTGGCAGAAAGAGTTTGAACGGGTTTGTAAACATGGATTTTTGGTTAAACAAACCGTATAACCCCAAACCACCATGTCCCACAAGCTCCATGTGTCCACGGGAATGGACAGAGACCACTCGGCCGTAAAGTGAGAAACTATCAGAGCACAAAAAATGGCATTCATGGAATCATACAACCGCTCAGCTCGATGTGTCCACAAAAATGGACCGAATCCGTATAACCCCAAACCACCATGTCCCACAAGCTCCATGTGTCCACGGGAATAGACAGAGACCACTCGGCCGTAAAGTGAGAAACTATCAGAGCACAAAAAATGGCATTCATGGAATCATACAACCGCTCAGCTCGATGTGTCCACAAAAATGGACCGAATCCACTTGTTTTGTCAAGAGACAAGCTTGCCCCTAGAACCTTTTGGCAGAAAGAGTTTGAAAAGGATTTTTGGTTAAACAAACCGTATAACCCCAAACCACCATGTCCCACAAGCTCCATGTGTCCACGGGAATGGACAGAGACCACTCGGCCGTAAAGTGAGAAACTATCAGAGCACAAAAAATGGTATTCATGGAATCATACAACCGCTCAGCTCGATGTGTCCACAAAAATAGACCGAATCCACTTGTTTTGTCAAGAGACAAGCTTGCCCCTAGAACCCTTTTGGCAGAAAGAGTTTGAAAAGGATTTTTGGTTAAACAAACCGTATAACCCCAAACCACCATGTCCCACAAGCTGTTACTAATGGTATAATCAGCAACGGTATATATACCCATGATTTTCTCCTTATACTTCCGATGTGGGATTAAAGTGTGACTTCCCAAACGATTAGACTCATGCCTAAGTCACGTGATCCTCCCTAAATTGTCTAAAACCGATCTATGCAACTCACGATCCCTGATTAAAGTGTGGTTTCCCCTTGATGATTTAGTAAACTCATGCCCAAGTCACGTGATCCGCCTCAAATTGTCTAACTAGAAACCCTAATAATTTCAGTCTTCTCAATTCATGATCCCTAAGATGTCTCTATCGTGGTAAAACCCTCTCGTATTCCCATTCTTAATCTTGGGGGATTGCTTCAAACAGAGGGGGAATAAGAGAACATATGCTTGCTTGGGGAGGAAGGAACCGTTTAGGGCTTGGTGGAAAGACGAGAGATTCGCTCAGTTAATGAATGGCCGCCATGTGAGAGAGGTTTAGAACTACTAGGTCAGACAGAGAGAAGAAGATCCCAGTTTGAATATAAAAGCACAAAACAATGGCTCCTCGTCAAAAAAAAAAAACCACATAATTTGTAAGATTTAGGTATTATTTCAATATGTGTTTTACCTTTTAGTATGACAAGGAATATGATATAGTTGTTTTCAACAAAATGCAATGTTTTCACTTTTTTTTTTGTTTCTTGGATCTAACGGTTGTGCTACGATGTGGGAGGTTCTTGGATATTTTTATTTTTGTCAGTGATTGCACTTATGTTTCAAGACTAGTGTGAAATCAATACAACAATAACACTCATGTCTCTCTATAGCTTAACACATCAGCTTTTCGAAGCTTTATAAACATGACACCTCAGCAAAAATAATCACCAATCAAAACATTTTATTAATACAACCTATCTACTTATTTTTAAATTTTAAACTTAAACCCTTTAAAAACCCAAATACTTTTTCTATTAATCTTTATTTTATTTTTTACCAAACAGAAACCCAAATAATTAATAACAACAAATAAAAAAAATTTTATTTTATTTTTTATCAAACTTAAGCCTAAATAATAAAAAACAACAAATAAAAAATTGAAATTTTGTTTTATTTTTTGCCAAACCCAAACCCAAATAATAAATAATAACAAATAAATATTAATAAAAAATTTCTAGCTATCTGTTTGTTTAACAGAGACGTATATGATTGAAAAAAGTGTAGGTTCAGCATCAACCATGCTTCGACGAGAAAACAAATTTTTTTGGCTTTGGTGGGAATAAGAAATTTATCTGTTTTGCCGAAAGTAAGAGATTTCTTGATTTCGGTAAGAAAATGTGATTTTCAGTTTTGGTAACAAAACATAATTTCTTGGTTATGACAGAAAAAAACAAATTCTCAGGTTTAGCGGAAAAATGTGAATTCTTGGTTTTGGTGAGAAAACAAAAAAAAAAATTGATTTTGACGGGAAAACAAAATATCTTAGTTTTGACGGAAAAATGCTATTTTCGGTTTTGATACGGAATGCAAATTTTCGACTTTTGACCAATTTCATGGTTTTCACGCAAAAATGTGGTTTATTAGTTTTCATGGGAAATTGAAATTTAATAATTTTGGCGGAAAATATAATTTCTCGGTTTGATAGGAAAACAAAATTTCTAGGTTTTGGCGGGAATAAGCAATTTCTCGGTTTAGATGGAAAATGCAAATTTTTAATTTTTAAAGAATAATGTGATTTTTTTTGTTTTCACAGGAAAATACATTTTCTTAGTTTTTGCAGGAAAATATAATTTCTTAGTTTTTGCGGGAAAATACAATTTCTTAGTTTTTGCAGGAAAACATAATTTCTCGGGAGATAATGCAATTTTTGGTTTTTGCGGAAAATTGTAATTTATCTGTTTTGGTAGGAAAGCGTGATTCTTGGTTTGACGAGAAAATGAATTTTTTTGATTTTGACGGGAATAGACGATTTCTCGGTTTTTGCAGAAAATAATTCTTTTTGGTTTGACGGGAAAATACGATTTTTTTTTGTTTTTGCAGGAAGATGAAATTTTTTGGATTTAGTGAAAAACGTGATTTCTCGGTTTTGGCGGAAAAACACAAGTTTTTGCGGGAAAATATTTGACGAGAAAATAATTTTTTTGGTTTTGACGAGAAATGAGATTTTTCGGTTTTTGTAAGAAGATGAAATTTCTCTATGCTAAATTTCCAAATTAAAATATATTACAATAACCAAAATTTAATTATTTAACTTTAACTAAAACATTATTTCAAGAGTTCAAACAGAATTTTCTGTTTAGTGCTAAAACATTAGCAATGATTTTGATATGAATGTTTTTAATTATAGTTTGGTAGTTTTAGAAATATATATTTTTAATAAATATTTGATAAATAAATAAACTTTGTAATTTACGATAATCATATTAATTAATAAATCTTTATTTTTAAATGACATTTTATTTTATATAATTACAAAGGAAGATCAAGTGGCAATTTATTGGAGAAAATAGATTATATTTACTATTAGCATAAAAATACTAAAAATGTATTGTTTTATTCTTACATATACATTTATAATTAGTTAGCTAAACAAATTTAATAGCAAATTATAATTTTGAAAAATAAAAAATATACATTATTTATCAGATTTAAAACATATAAATACATAACTTTGGCTAATAAAAAAATAAATACAATACTTGTTATATACAAAATTTAGAAAAATATCTCGCAGCTTAGCGCGGGTAAATACCTAGTTACTTATGAAATTAAGAAATCTTACATTTTCGTTGGAACTGTAAGTAAGATTTCGTTTGAAAGTTTGCAGCTTTAACAAAAAATCTTATATTTTCGTTGATTGGTTTCTGTTCTCAGGAGTATCTAGAGCCTTTGAAGGTGAACTTTGCAGACAAACCCAAAGAACCTCTGTTTCCATAGACAGTGACTTCAGAGTCATTAGTTGGTGCTAGAGTTGTTTATAATCATCACCAGTCGAATTCTTCCGATCATTGTCAGGACTTCTGGTGTGGCTTGTGGTCCTCAATGTAGTCCCCTTTTGTTGAGAGAGTCTGCGATGTCATAAAGAATATGACCTAGATTGTATCAGGACCTGCAAGAATGCCCCCAAAAAATGTGTCACAAGCAATTTAAGGACATCACAATGCGTCTTTTGCCAGAAAATACAACACTAAAATATATCAAAAGTTTAAACAATTACAGTGGACATGCCAAATATAAACCCAAACCAGGGAAAAAAGTTGATCAAAGATCATTAGCTTTGGGGATTAAGATGTTTCGTTAGTGTAAGACTTAATTGCCTATGGAGCTGGCTCGACCTGATTGTACAAGGATTCATCGTCAGATGGGGAAAAATTATGACAAAAGGAGATGCGGAAACCGGAACGGTGAAAAATTAGGGGCTTCTTTGACAGAAAGAAAAGTTTCAAAGGGTGAAAAATATAAAAACCAAAAGTTGAGGAAAAAAAAAAGGGAAAAAGTTTAACCTGTCAGACCGCCGTGCGACCACCCCGGTTAGGATTAAACCGAACCGAGTGACGATCCTCTACAGCATCGGATTCAACAGAAGATTATCGTGGCCGTTAATCACGCTCCGATCGCACGGTCATGGATCATCAACCAGGGTTAAGGGCCTGTCTCTTGAGAAATCAAGAAAACAGAGGTACGAGCCTATAGAACAGATCCTGTTCAAGTAAGGTCGTGACCTAAAACTTCGTCTCTCCGGTATATAAACAACACAGCTTCTCTCTACGTTACCGATGTGGGACGAAAGTAACCCAACTTCACATGAACGAAATGTCGTCGTTTTGTATCTCAATGAACTAATGCCCAAAACGCCATCGTTTACAACCTCAATGAACTGATCGCCAATACGAAACAGAGGGTTTCTTTTTTGAATCAGAAGAATTTGATCCGCCGTGGTTTCGTTTCATGAGAAATTTTCGGGATTTATCTGTGAATTCGCCGTGTAACCGAACATCATCATGTTTATCTCACACTGTGCTTCATGTGCCATTGTATCAGAAGTTCAAATTCCCGTTCGCTCTCGTTTACTTTACAAGGTACGTTGCTGAGTTGTTGTCTTAATTCTAATAGTGTGGCGAAACTTTTGTTGGCAGAGAATAAAACTTAGAAGACAGTCTTTTGTTGATAGGTTTATGCTTTGGTTCTTGTGGAGCAAAGGAACTAATGGACCATTTAGAAACAGTTCTTGTGAATGAACATGTTGTTGTTAACCAAATCGTTCAAGTTAAGCCTCAGGTAAATACGCTTTCTTCACCCAATCTTCTGTGGATGAGCCATAAAGAACACAATGATCCATAGAGAAACATCTCCAAATCTTCTATGCATAGTCCTAAACTTAGATCTTTGGACTAGCAGGGAGTAAGCAAAGGTCTTGTCACCCTTGGAGCCCAAAGACTTGGTCATCACACTCTCTGATCAGGCAGACAAACAATAGACATCACTCCTTTGATCAAAGCTATCAGAAGTGAAACTCAAATCTCCAGAAGCCACATTGATCAAGGTATCAGAAAAACAGAGCATCCTCTTATCAAACTAAGGTACCTCTCTTTGGCTTCTCTTCTGAACTACTCCAAGTTTGGTTTCCATGTTTGAAACCACTCATCTCAAGACGCATTGGCTATTTAAGCTCTTGCTACCAAAATTCTTCTTAATGTATCACAACAGTGTATCCATTTTTAAGATAAATTGAAAACAGTTTACCAAAAAAGAAACGAGAGTTGCTCTCTCTCGCAGAAAACATAGTTCTTTGAACCACATTGATTACAGAATTAAGAAACTATACAGAGGAAACAAAACCACAGACTCATCATCAGTTATCACCAATTGTATATACATTTTAAAGACAAAAACGAAACAGAAACAGAATCCGGAATATGAGAAACATATGTATCCAGAGTAAAGTTTCTTTGAGCAAGCCTATATTGCTGCATCTCGAATCAAGTAATCTAGTGCTTGTGCGAAGAGAAGCCTAATCCTGCAAATCACTTTACCTTGCATACTCTCTTCAGTAACCCTATACTCTTCCATTACCCAAGCCACCTTCTTATTCTCATCTTCTTCAAACTTGAAAACCGGTTTTGCAAATTTTGGTTTCTCGCTGTAATAGAACTTGTAAAACCTCTTGAATCCAAGAACCTCTTTGGTCCTCTTCGAGATGATCACTTTGTCATGTCTTATTATCCTCCAGCAACCGCCATCGCATCCATCGGTTCTACCACTAGTCTCTGTCTTGTTGACGAAGAAGTAGTGTCCCATGTGTAGGACGAAGAGGGTATGAAGAGGCCACACAATCCTCCATGGCTCCACACCGTACACTTGCTCGCTTCGCAGGAAAGGTGGTCTAGGCCACTCGTTTCGATTATCACCGAGAAACAACTTCAGATAGATTGTGATTATTTCATCCCTTGGTACGTTCGTTGCCCAAAAATCCCACCTCGGCATCAAACGCCTCCGAGAAAACGGCGATATCATCGATTTGGTCAACAAGGAGAATTGCTTGGCGAGCAAGGAAGTAACCTCGGGTTGGAGCAGAAGACGAATCTTGCAGATCACTTGATCTTGCTTCCATTTACTGACGAGGCTATACTCTTCCATCACCCAGATTCCCTGATCCTCGTCTTCTTCTTCTCGTTTCCTCTCCTTATCACAGAACTTGAGAATCTTCTTGAACCCTAGAATCTTCCCGGTCTCCTCAGACTTGATGAGTTTATCACGACCCATGATTCTCCAGCAACCCGATTCGGATCCGTCGGTTTTACCACAAGCCTCTGTTCGGCGTTTGACGAAGACGAAGTAGTTAGGGCTCTGAGTTTTGACGAAGTAGTTAGGATTCAGGTTGTACACGTGTGCGTATTCGTCTCTGAGGAAGTGGTTAGGCCAGGATTTGCTGTTGTTCATCATCATTTTCAGATAATATGAGATGATCACCTCGTCTGCTGGTTCGATGAGGTCATCATCATCTTCAGATGATTCAGAGTGATCTTCCATGGCTTCTTCTTAATTAGGTGATGAAACTCAATTGATTGGATAGAAGAAGAAGAAGATTTTGAAGTGAATATCGCGAGAGAGAGAAACAAGAAGCGCAAGAAGCGAAGAAGAAGAAGGAGGAGAAGACGAAGAAGCAGCTATGCTTTATAGTTAGTTGTTACCGTTATATTTATCTTTATTCCGTAACTATTTTGTTGTGAAAGGGTTAATTGTTTTGCTTTCACATACTAATTTCGATTAGTTGATAAACAATAATGTATGGAGGATTTAAAAAGAATATACATTTGTTGCTAAATAAAAAGGAATGTATATTTGTTTTTTTTTAACATTTGACATTTTGTTTCTTTTACTTTATTTAACGTTTTTTTTAGTTGTTAAACGGTTATGATAATATGATTTTCTTGACGACGTCGTCATCTCAGAATGGCTGATATGCTACCAAATGAACTAAAAGGATCAATGCACAGAAGAAGAGCCTCAACAATTAAATTCTCAGGTTTCACGATAGAAAATGAATGTTTAGATTTATTCTTATTTTAGTCGATTCGTAAGACAGTCAGTATATTAATGATGTGAATCCACATCTTAACTATTATTTGAGAAACATGTTTAATGAAAAAATTTGATGTGTCATCACCCTAGCAAAAGTTAGTGTAAATTAATGATAACATGGAATTGTAACATAAAAATGTGACATGACAAATTTTTTAAAATAAATGAAATATTTTGATTAGTTGATTTATAATTAATAAATTATAAAATTATAACATAAATACTCTAGACTATAACACTAAAAAAAATTAATTAACAGAAAATAATACTATGATTTTAATTTGTTTTTACATATATTCAGAATAAATTGCATAAAATATGATTACGAAAATTTTACAACTAATATATATTTTATATTTTTAAATAAAAAAATAATAATAGCTTATCCAATAAGATAGTATATACGTTATATATTAATAATGTTGGGAGTATGATATATTATTATTTGTATATAATTTTTTTTAACATTTTTATATTATTGTTTTCTGGAATTTGCGTAGCTTACACTACTATCTCAAGATATGTCTTATCCTTTTTAAAATAAATTAAAAATTTATATCATACTCATATACAATCTCATTGTAGATCGAGAATTTAAGAACAGAAATAAAACACAATGTAACTGGATAAAAAATAAATTATAAATAAGAAAAAAAAATATGAATAAGAAGTAGAAGTAAAAAAAAATCTTTACAGTTTTCTTTTCGTAACACTCTCAAAAATGTTTTTACGGAGTCATTTAAAAATTTTAAGAAAGAAATTTTATAGTAAACGCATGTGTGCCTCAAATTTTATAATGAATACATGCGTGCAGACCAACCATAAGAAATTTATTTTCTTCATCATACCAATTTTATAAACTATGATTTCACAAATTTTATAACAAATTTATTATAAATTTTATTTGGTATAAATAAACATATGAATAAGAATTAGAAGTAAAAGTAAAAATAAATCTTTACGACTTTGGTTTTCTGTAAAATTTTCAGGCTATATCTTTGGTTTAAAGCATCTCTCATCCACCTTTATTTTAAATCTTCTAATTTAGAGGAAAAATAGCGATGTTATTTTTTTCTTATGTAATGAGAGGATTAAGTAACAATCTTTCGTTTTCCTTTAAAATAGAAATATGTTGGAGAGAAATCAACCTATGTTTTAGAGGAAAAAATAGAAAAATACATTGGAGATGATCTTAATGTTTAATATATTATTCAAGGTTAAGAAAAACATATGAGTCAAAGAAGACAAAAAAACAATTTTGATCAATTTTATGTTTTTATTTTAAAATATAGTAAAATATTATCTTACACATATTAATTCTTTCATGCATATATTTTTTTCAACATCTTAAAATATTATTTCATGTATATGTTATGATCCATTATATATAAAATTAACGCATATATCAAAATTAGGAACAGAAAAACTCTTATTTTGTAATATAACAATTAAATGTTAAATATATTATTTAACACATATAACCATACACTTATAAGTTTAGGATCCGGCTGGTTTAAACTCTGCGGTTACAGCGAGTTATGGAAGCGAGCGATTGCAGGCTATAAAAAATTTGACCAAGAGATGAGCGGAGTGCTACCAGAGAATTTTATAAAATAAGAATTCATAAATTTTTATTATAATTTTTATTGAGAAACCATATATCATAAAATATTGAAAAATAAGTTATTTTGATTAAATACGAAACGATAGAAACGGTTTACGTGATTATTGTTAAACGCCAAAAACTGTATTGTGTAAAATCATAACGTTTGCGGAAAATATTCGAGATCAGAGCTCAAGATTCTGGTTTAGAATTTTTGGTAGTTAATATAAGTAGTAAAATCGGTCAAAGGAGAAACACAAGCTTTGAATATCAACTTGTTAGGATTGTTCTTAAAGCTTCAAACAAAGAGAGAAGTGAGAAGGTGAGTGTCATGTATCCTTGATACATTTGTTGTGCTATCTTGTGATATAATTTAGAACTAAGAATCGGTTGGGTATAATAGGCCTGTTCTTTTGTCCACCGCTGCGGCAGCGGTGAGAGAGGGCAAAACGTCAATAAAAGTGATGGAGTAACAAACGAAACACAGCATAGCGTTAAATTAAAAGTGTCACAATAGCCGCAGTCGACAGGCAATGTGTGACGCCGATTACTCCAACTGCCGCTGCTTTTCTTCAGCGTCATGGAAGACTCTGGTTTTTTTTGTCCAAAATGAATTGCAGCGGCAAAAATGAAGAGAGGTCAAAGGCTTTTTGCCATTGGTGATAAGTGTATTTTTCTATCGCCATCCTTGTGGCAGCGTCATTCTTCCGAACAGGGTAAATGTAAGGGTTTAGAGTTATATAACATCAATATAATTGTAATTAGGGAGATTAAGTTGTAATATTTTAGTTAATGGAAAAAATGTTGGACTTGGTGTTTTCCAAGTCATAGTATCAGAGCATGCAATTGGTAAATGTTGTATGTTCTTATTAATTAGGTATGATTGCAGGATAAAATATAACATGCAACATCTTAGATTAGTTAAATTGCTGATTCTGGATGCAGAGAATTATGAATGGTGAAAATTTCAGATCACGACACTAATCAAAGGATTTGATGAGGATGCTTGTACGATGGTTGAAGATAACCAATGATCGTTGGTGAAGATGGTGTCGTAAAGAGAAAAACCAAGATCATCCTGGGCACAAAAGGAGAAATCAATGTCTAAATTCAACTCCAAGGCATTGTCAATGATCTAGAAATCACTTACTAACGATCAATTCAGAAGAGTTCAAGATTGCGCTACTGCAGAGGAAGCATGGGATGCACTTCAAACATCCTTTGAGGGGACCATCAACTTTAGACGAACTCGGATGGATCTTCTAGCATTGCATTTTGAAACTATCACGATGAATGCATGTGAGACTGTGGAGGAGTTTAGTGAAGAAATCAGTGTGATCGCTAATTATGCCCAAGTGTTGGAAAAAATCTACAAGGACAATAAACTTGTTAAGAAATTTTTAAGGGGTCTACCCGACAAGTTCCAATCCCACAAGTCTGTTATAGAAGTATCATGCAACTCAGATGAAATGAAGTTTGATGAAGTGTTTGGGATGATGCAGGCATGTGAACTGGAACACTCTTAAAAAACCCAATCCAAATGTAAAAAACCCAATCCAAATGTAAGAGTATAGCATATGTAGCTGATCAAGGGTAGTCTAAGATGGATGAGTTCAATGATCAAGTCGGATTGATTGTCAAAAAATATTTCAAAAAGTGTGAGAAGGGTCAAAGAATGACAAACTTTGACATGAAGAGGACAGATGTGGACGCTCAGACAGAGAAAGTATTCAAGAAATATGAAATGGAATGTCGCAAATGTGAAGGGTATGGTTATTTCAAAGTCAGAATGTGCAATTGTCAAGAGAAGAGAAACATTGTGATGTCAGACGTGCAGAAGCTTTGAACACATCAAAACGGATTGTGTTGGTGACACTGAAGATCCTTTTTTCCGGTTGAAACGATCACCCTCACTTCATTGACCCTTCTCTGCATCAATTCTCTGAACTTTCTTTATAGTCCGGTGATGTCCTTTTTTCAACTTGTTTTAGCATCTTATTGATATTTCTAGCCATATAACCCAAATTGTTTCAATACGTTTAACTCTTTCGTTACCTCTCCCAGCTGTAAAATATACGCCCTTCAGTGCTGATGACTCTTCTTCAGTAGATTCTATTTCTTCTGCTTTAAGCATCCCATATAGATGATCAAACTTCAAATCATCAACGCGTATAGAATATTTCAATGCAACTTTGTGAGCAGAAAACTTTGTTGGGAGACATCTCAGCAATTTCTTGACTAGCTTTTTTTCTTTGTCTTTCTTCCATTATGCATATATAGGCTTCATTGGCTAAAGTGCTGAGTTTGGCAGTGAAACTAGCTACTGAATCATCATTTCTCATTCTGAGATTTTTAAACTGAGATGCTAAATGGTCAATCCGAGTTCTTCTCACGCTATTGTCTCCTTAAAAATGATTTACCATAGTGTCCCAAGCTTCTTTGGCTGATTCACATTCTTGAATGACTTTAAACTGATTTAAGTCCACTGCTGAGAAGATTGCAGTAATGACTTTAAAATTGAACTTGGACGCATTCTTATCAGCATCAGTATATTTTTCTCTTGGTTGCAGCACAGTAGAGATGCATAGAGGTATGGTCTTTTGTTTTCTGATTTTTTCTCTTCAACTAATATAGTAGGTGATTCCCATCCTTCAACAACTGATATCCATGCATCTTCATCAATACCCCAGATGATATGTCTCATACGCACCTTACAATGACCAAAGTTTTCAGCATCTAGGACAATCGGCTTCTGCACGACAATCAGTTCCTTCATGGTATCCATAGTAGTCTCAAGATCTTAAACTGAAAATAGATCACGTAATCTAGAAGGTGATCTGCTCTG